ATGGGCTAGTTTTTTTGGCCGAGCCTAATGGCTCGGGAATGCCCACGTTAAAAAGGCCTTGTGCCACATGACACCCTCGTGGGGGGTGACTGAATATTGTCAGTCGTTCACCTCTGAACTGACTGTTCGGTTAAACTCTCTTCCTACGGGCGAGGAACCCGAAGGAGGCTACGCCGAAGGGCGGAGTCTCCTTCGGGGAGGTTAAACCGGCCCTGAACCCGTTTATACGGGTTCAAATGGGCTATTTTTGGCCGAGCCTAATGGCTTGGGAATGCCCACGTTAAAAAAGGCCTTGTGCCACATGACACCCTCGTGGGGGGTGACTGAATATTGTCAGTCGTTCACTTTCTGAGCGACTGCACGGTTAAACTCTCTTCCTACGGGCGGGAGGAACCCGAAGGAGGCTACGCCGAAGGGCGGAGTCTCCTTCGGGGGGTAAAACGGCCCTGAACCCGTTTATACGGGTTCAAATGGGCTATTTTGGCCGAGCCTAATGGCTTGAGAATGCCCACGTTAAAAAGGCCTTGTGCCACATGACACCCTCGTGGGGGTGACTGAATATCGTCAGTCGTTCACTTTCTGAACTGACTGTTCGGTTCAACTCTCTTCCTACGGGCAGGAGGAACCCGAAGGAGGCTACGCCGAAGGGCGGAGTCTCCTTCGGGGAGGTCGCTCCCGGCCCAGAACCCGTTTATACGGGTTAAAATGGGCTATTTTTTGGCCGAGCCTAATGGCTCGGGAATTCCCACGTTAAAAGGCCTTGTGCCACATGACACCCTCGTGGGGGTGACTGAATATTGTCAGTCGTTCACTTTTGAACCGACTGTTCGGTTAAACTCTCTTCCTACGGGCGGGAGGAACCTGAAGGAGGCTACGCCGAAGGGCGGAGTCTCCTTCGGGGAGGTAAAACGGGTTCGGCCCAGAACCCGTTTATACGGGTTCAAATGGGCTATTTTTGGCCGAGCCTAATGGCTCAGGAATGCCCACGTTAAAAAAGGCCTTGTGCCACATGACACCCTCGTGGGGGTGACTGAATATTGTCAGTCGTTCACCTCTGAACTGACTGTTTGGTTCAACTCTCTTCCTACGGGCGGGAGGAACCCGAAGGAGGCTACGCCGAAGGGAGGAGTCTCCTTCGGGGAGGTAAAACCGGCCCAGAACCCGTTTATACGGGTTCAAATGGGCTATTTTTGGCCGAGCCTAATGGCTCGGGAATGCCCACGTTAAAAAGGCCTTGTGCCACATGACACCCTCGTGGGGGTGACTGAATATTGTCAGTCGTTCACCTCTGAACTGACTGCACGGTTAAACTCTCTTCCTACGGGCGGGAGGAACCCGAAGGAGGCTACGCCGAAGGGCGGAGTCTCCTTCGGGGAGGTAAACTCGGCCCAGAACCCGTTTATACGGGTTCAAATGGGCTATTTTTTTGGCCGAGCCTAATGGCTCGGGAATGCCCACGTTAAAAAAGGCCTTGTGCCACATGACACCCTCGTGGAGGGGTGACTGAATATCGTCAGTCGTTCACCTCTGAACCGACTGCACGGTTAAACTCTTCCTACGGGCGGGAGGAACCCGAAGGAGGCTACGCCGAAGGGCGGAGTCTCCTTCGGGAGGTAAAACCGGCCCAGAACCCGTTTATACGGGTTCAAATGGGCTATTTTTGGCCGAGCCTAATGGCTCGGGAATGCCCACGTTAAAAAGGCCTTGTGCCACATGACACCCTCGTTGGGGGGTGACTGAATATCGTCAGTCGTTCACCTCTGAACTGACTGCACGGTTCAACTCTCTTCCTACGGGCGGGAGGAACCCGAAGGAGGCTACGCCGAAGGGCGGAGTCTCCTTCGGGGAGGTAAACCGGTCCAGAACCCGTTTATACGGGTTCAAATGGGCTATTTTTTGGCCGAGCCTAATGGCTCGGGAATGCCCACGTTAAAAAGGCCTTGTGCCACATGACACCCTCGTGGGGGGGTGACTGAATATCGTCAGTCGTTCACCTCTGAACCGACTGCACGGTTAAACTCTCTTCCTACGGGCGGGAGGAACCCGAAGGAGGCTACGCCGAAGGGCGGAGTCTCCTTCGGGGAGGTTAAACCGGCCCAGAACCCGTTTATACGGGTTCAAATGGGCTATTTTTTGGCCGAGCCTAATGGCTTGGGAATGCCCACGTTAAAAGGCCTTGTGCCACATGACACCCTCGTGGGGGGTGACTGAATATCGTCAGTCGTTCACCTCTGAACCGACTGCACGGTTAAACTCTCTTCCTACGGGCGGGAGGAACCCGAAGGAGGCTACGCCGAAGGGCGGAGTCTCCTTCGGGAGGTTAACTCGGCCCAGAACCCGTTTATACGGGTTCAAATGCTATTTTTTTGCCGAGCCTAATGGCTCGGGAATGCCCACGTTAAAAAGGCCTTTGTGCCACATGACACCCTCGTGGGGGGGGTGACTGAATATCGTCAGTCGTTCAACTCTGAACCGACTGAACGGTTAAACTCTCTTCCTACGGGCGGAGGAACCCGAAGGAGGCTACGCCGAAGGGCGGAGTCTCCTTCGGGGGAGGTTAAACTGCCCCAGAACCCGTTTATACGTGTTCAAATGGGCTATTTTTTGCCGAGCCTAATGGCTCGGGAATGCCCAGAACGTTCAAAAAAAGGCCTTTGTAAAAAGGCCATGACACCCTCGTGGGGTGACTGAATATCGTCAGTCGTTCAACTCTGAACCGACTGTTCGGTTAAACTCTCTTTTAAGGGCGGAGTCTCCTTCCGAATTTACGGGTTCAAACTGGGAGGAACCCGAACCCGTTTAACGGGTTCAAATGGGCGGAGTTTTCGGGGGAGGTAAACCCGTTTATACGGGTATGCCGACTGTTAAAAAAGCCCTGCCTTGCGGCACCCTCGTGGGGGGTGACTGAATATCGTCAGGTTCAACTCTGAACCGACTGTTCGGTTAAACTCTCTTCCTACGGGCGGGAGGAACCCGAAGGAGGCTACGCCGAAGGGCGGAGTCTCCTTCGGGGAGGTAAAACCGGCCAGAACCCGTTTATACGGGTTCAAATGGGCTATTTTTTGTCCCGATGGCCTAATGGCTTGTGGAATGCCCACGTTAAAGGCCTTGTGCCACATGACACCCTCGTGGGGGTGACTGAATATCGTTAGTCGTTCAACTCTGAACGACAGAACGGTTCAACTCTCTGTCTACGGGCGGGAGGAACCCGAAGGAGGCTACGCCGAAGGGCGGAGTCTCCTTCGGGAGGTGGGGCTCGGCCCTGAACCCGTTTATACGGGTTCAAATGGGCTATTTTGGCCGAGCCTAATGGCTCGGGAATTCCCACATTAAAAAGGCCTTGTGCCACATGACACCCTCGTGGGGGGGGGTGACTGAATATCGTCAGTCGCTCAACTCTTGAACGACAGAACGGTTCAACTCTCTGTCTACGGACGGGGAGGAACCCGAAGGAGGCTACGCCGAAGGGCGGAGTCTCCTTCGGGGAGGTAAAACTGGCCCTGAACCCGTTTAGGCGGGTTCAAACGGGCATATTTTTGGGCAGCGCCCACGGGCTCGGGTAAACCCACAATCAATAACCGACCTTGTGTCACATGTTGCCCCAGTGGGGGAGAGACTGAATATTGTCAGTCGCTCAAGACTTGAACGACAGATTGGTTGAACTCTCTGCTTTTGGGCGGGGAGGAACCCGAGAGAGGCTACGCCGAAGGGCGGATTCTCTTTCGGGGAAGTAAACCGACCCTGAACCCGTTTATACGGGTTCAATGGACATATTTCTGGCCGAGCCCACGTTAAAAAGGCCTTGTGCCACATGATTCCCTCGTAGTGGGGGGTGACTGAATATCGTCAGTAGTTCAAGTCGGGTCAAGAGTCGAGTCAGAGGCAGTCCGAAACAGAGTCGCGTTCAGACAATTACTACAAGACATTGGAATAGTGATACTGGTCGAGACTACATTGTTCTCCCTACTAAACCTGATTGTCCGTACTAACCCTTTCTACTATTCTGTATATATTCCTGTTTGTAATATATCTGTGTTATTCCATACCTGTGTTCGAGTTTATCTTTATTGGTTCTACCTTGGACTATCACCGTGGTACAAGGAACTGGACCATAACAGGTAGTGAGTTCGATCCTCACTTACGGGCTTGTGCTACCATAACGATCCAATTAAGGTACCTCTCGACGTTGTGTAATTGTTAGCAAATTTGACTCGCTAGAACAATTACGACTGAGTAGTCAGTTTTATCTTCAGTTACGGCCTTGTGTCGCCATGATGATCCCATTAGAGTACCTCGGCGTGATGTAATGGTTAACAAGCTTGTCTCGCTAAAACAGTTACGAATCAGTAATGAGTTCGATCCTCACTGGGTTCTCCATACTTTCGGGCTTGTGCCACATCTAAGGTAAGTTTATAAAACCATTTAGGGTGTGATGGTCAGTCAGCTTGTCTCGTGCGATCAATTACAACTGAATAGTGAGTTCGATACTCACTGGGTGTCAGATACTTTCAGCCTTGTGCCACATCTCATGCAAATCAATAATGAATCCTGGTACGACATTAATTCATAACGATCTGATTAGCGTACCGCGATCTAGTGTAATGGTTAACAAGTTTGTCTCGCTAGAACAATTACGACTGAGTAGTGAGTTTGATCGTCACTTCCGGCCTTGTGCCACCATGACAATATTACTTGTTGGGACAGGAGGAGGGGAAAGAGGTTACTCGCTCTAGTATCGATGGAACAAAGGCATGAACCCTTTGCGGGCTATTTAACGTTAGAAAATACCTTTTAGATTGTAAGAATTTTTTGGGGGGATAATAATGTTTAAATGATACAAGTCTTACTAATTAATCTATAGCTAGGGGAGAAGAGGTGAATTCATACCAAGGATATTTGCGTGTAAGTTAATGTAACAGACCCAAGGGGAAATGAAACTCGGCTCTCCGATTAACAATTCCGAGCCATTATCTATTACACTACCCATATATCTAAACTTATAGCATCTAGTATTCCCAAGTGGTCACCCATTTAGGTACTGACCGGGCTCGACGTTGCTTACCTTCGGTGATTGTACGGGAACCAGTATTTCAAAAGAAATTTACATTATTCGGACTATTGTCCTCGTCTTTTTCGCTATATTTATTACAACGTTTCGGCCGTTGTACGCTCCGGCCGTTGTACGCTCCGGCCTTCTTCAGGTGGTTGGAATGTCGAACTGAACCCTTTATTTCGCTCACTGGGGTAGACTGTTCTAGTTCCACGTGCCATATTTAATGGATGCCAGTTATCAGTTATCTCCTGTTATTTCCCTCTCTCCAAGTTCTCCACTGCCTTAACCAGGTATTGAACTCACACTCTTTGGGTCCTGTCACTGGATCTAACCAACGCCTCACAGATGGTTTTATACGTTGTAATAAATATGCCGACAAAGATGGGGACAATAGTCGGAATAAAGTAAATAGTGTACATAATACCTCATCTCAGAAATATAGACAGATACTGAAAGGACGAAATGTTGTAATAAATATGGCAACAAAGATGAGGACAATAGTCCAAATAATGTAAATAGTGTACATAATACCTCATCTCAGAAATATAGACAGATACTGAAAGGCCGAAACGTTGTAATAAATATGGCGACAAAGATGAGGACAATAGTCCGAATAATGTAAATAGTCTACATAGTACCTCATCTCTGAAATATAGATAGATATCGTCCAGAAATATTTAAACTATCAGCTATATACAACCGTTTTCACAGATCTATGATTAGAGATAGCTTCAAGCGAATGAAATTTAAATCTTCTTTAATATACAGGATGTAGGCGATCATGGCTCTCCACAATTTCCTACTCTTTGTAACTATTAGCTATGTTTGTCTTTTTGCTATTTCTCCTAATCCCTGTTCTCTCTAACATTTAAACAAATTCGTTAGGTAGGTTATGCGTTATTTTCCTCTGTCCCTCTTGACTTCTGTGAGTGTCAAGTTTTCTAAGCCGTCCTTCCTCATTGTGGAAACCTAGAAATTTCAATTGTCTTTTTCAGATGCTAAATATAAATGTCCTTTTTGTTTCCATTCTCTCTGAAACTTCGTCGTTGCTCAAATGTTCGGTCTGTCGTGCTCTCGGCATCTAAAAGAATGAATTCGTCGATACGATTTCTGTCCACACCAATAGAGTCAGAAAAAAATATAAACGTATGTTGATACTTAAAATTAAGGATGTTTAACATCAGAAACGAGAATCCAGTCATTAATTGTTGATATGTATGTAGATAAGTAAATGTAATGACAATTCGTGGGGCCATTGCAGTGTTTAATACTCATTGCGAGTTCTTTGTTTTTTTTTTAAGCGTTTCACCTTCACCCCAAGCAAGGCGGGAGAGCCTCTATCACGCAAGGGGTTACAGAGAGTGCGAGCAAGAGTAAAGAGAGGTGTTTGAGGAAAGGATAAAGAGAAAAACGGTGATCAGGATCAAAGCATCCGAAGATGTCATTTAACATTATATTTGAATATTTGACGATTATAGGTATCAGGGGAGAAAGTAAGAGGAAGGGAGTTCCACTGTCGGGAAGTGCGGGAGAAGAAGATTTTGGAATAGAAGAGGCGGTTATATTTAACTGTTTCGACATTGAAAGGGTGGGACCGAGAGGCCAACCTAGTAACTCGCTTATGTTGTCCTTGTGTAGGAAAATAATACTACTAATACTACTAACAATAGTTTTTTTTAAGTATTTCGCCCCAAGCAAGACGGGAGTGCCACTTGCACGGAAAGGGTTACAGAGAGTGAGAGCAAGAGTAAAGAGGGGGGGGTTGAGGAAAGGATATAGAGAAGGACGGGGGTTGGGATCAAGGCATCAAAAGATGTCGATTGACATTACATTTGAATATTTGAAGATTATAGCTATCAGAGAAGCAAGGAAAAAGAAGGGAGTTCCACTGATTGGAAGTGCGAGAGAAGAAGCAGTTGGAGTAAAAGAGACGGTTACATTTAACTGTTTGAACAGTAAAAGGTTGGGACCGAGATGCCAGCCTAGTAGCACGCTTAAATTCATGCAGTTGGGGGACTAGTGAAAGTACCTCGTCAAAGCAGAAATATTTGTAGAAAAGACATAGAGAAGCCACGTCTGTGAGAAAGTGACTGTAGACGAGATCCCAGATCAAAACCTATGTGCCTTTTGCCAGACTTAGCTAATTCTGTATTTCCATGTTTTTTTTTTAGTTTGTACAGCACTAGAGCAATTATTTGCCTTTTTTTTTTTTTTTTTTTTTTTTTGTCTGTTAACAAATGCGACCACACCCTGTCCATATTGGTTTGTTGTGTTCCGGAAATATTTTATCGACTTTTATTTGATTTTTCAGCCATTTTGTTTACAGTCCGTGCGCGCTTATATAGAAACAACTGACCAGCTGAATGTACGTTGTCTCCCCCAAGCCATTCATTGACAACATTCGACATCTGGATGTTTTAATCGATTAATTTACCTTTTAATCTCATTGGCCAATACCGCTTTTGGAAAGAATTAAATATTTAAAAAGTGATGCAATTGTTTACCTCGAATTTCTTGAGCATATTACATACGTGACGTTTCCCTGTATAAATGACATTTTAAGCGAGAAATAAATCGGCTTACCATACTTAATACTTCTCGTTTTCACTCTCGCGTGGTCATGTGTGACGTCACGAACTGCAGTGCGATTTTCGCTTCCGCTTCTCGTATACACTAGTCGTTGCTTTGAAATTTTTCATGCAACAAAAACAGACTATCATTATTGTTTCGTCCGTGTATTGTTTGATATATTGAAATGTAATTGTCATCTTTGATAATGGCGCTTATGTAAGCCGAAAGCTTAGATTAGATTTAAACATGTATCAATATGGTGTTTTCCTTTCGTCTTTCAACGATAATGTGATTAAGCTTATCAGACAATATGAAAGGAACTTACTTAAAATAAATAGACAAAACTTGTCTATATTATTTAATGAATCATGCATCAATATATATATATATATATATATATATATATATATATGTGTGTGGAAATAAATTGGTTGCTTGTATTATTTACATTATTCAGACTGTTATCCTCATCTTCAATGCCATATCCACAACGTTTAGGCCATTGTACGCTCCGGCCTTCTTCAGGTGATTGGAATTTCGAATCGAACTCTTAATTTCGTCTACCGGGATATATTGTTCTAGGTCCACGTGCCATGTCTCCAGATGACTCAGTTATTTCTCTTTAACTCAACTCTCTATGTGTTGGTTTACCACTGCTGTGGCATGATACTGAACTCACAATTCTTTGGATCTAGCCACTGGATCTAACTAACGTCTTTATCCACTGGGCCATGTGTCGTTGAGTACAACCCTATTTTACCTATGATGGACTCTCTCGTCTTGTAAAAAAATATAGTTAGACGGGAGAGTCCATCATATATAAAACGGGGAATTAGTTTTCAGTCACCCTGTAGAATGTTTTAAAAACTCAGACCTAGTAAAGTTACTGTTTTTTATTTCGTATTTTTATTTTCTCATTGATTGTAGAAATGGCCTTGAAAATGGAGTTTGGTAAGGTTCGGCGTAGTCCATTTGGCGTGGCTGATTCGGCGTCAGAAAAATAATTGGATTATTCGGCACTCCCGTTTAGGCGTCAGACTGTTTCGACGTCACTGTCTTTGGCAGGAGGGAACCCCACCGTTTCGCCTTGAAAAGTCCACGTCGGTCGAAACGGGCCGGCAACTATTACAGTTTTTCTATTGTCTTTTACATTTTATATATATATATATATATATATATATATATATATATATATATATATATATATTCAAATAAAAGGATAGAACAGACAGATTTATAATCCATAGTTCTTTAGCAAATATTTTTTTTTATTTTAAAAAAGTACTCGATACAAAGTAGAGTCTAATAGTATAATTATTTTTTTTTTTAAATATGTCTCCTTCAGGACACAGAAATTACTATTCACTTAATTTAATTTTTAGCTTAATTTAATTTTATGATCTAAGCTTCGGCTTCAAAACATAGTCATTTCTGTGTCACGATGGAGACACATTTTTCAAAATTAAAAATATATATATATATATATATATATATATATAGCGTCATTTATGACCATGGAATATTAGTGTTTATGGAATATTATATATATATATATATTTATATATATATATATATATATATATATATATATATTTCTTAAAGTGTGCTATATTTACAGGATAAAGAGCTCAATATCAGCGATAGAGCATGTGTAAATATAAAAGTGAACATTGAAGTCAACACTTAGAGGCAACAGGCTGTTTCATGCTAGAGGCACTCGTAAATCGGTGGCCTGACGATTGCGTCTAGCATAAAACAACTTGTCGCCTCTAAGTGTTGACTTCAATATTGACTTATATATATATATATATATATATATATATATATATATATATATATATATAGAGAGAGAGAGAGAGAGAAGAGAGAGAGAGAGAGACTCGTTTCGGCATATGTGGAACCACTAAGTCAGTTCTTAAAACTGAAAACCAGACTACTCACACCTCACAGATATCATTTGTTTGTTTTGGTAAGGGCTTGTGCGGAATCAGCCACACTTTTCGGAAAAACCGAAGACAGAAACTGAAACCGCCAATAATTCTACAAATGACCCTCGTCATGTTTTGAATTCAGAATTGTCCTTCTCGTAGACTGGATGCCAACCAAAAACATAGGGCCCATTCTGTCCTGCTGTCCTTTTTACTTTTACTCATAACTGGTGGGAGTGGAGAAGAAGGTATTAGCGCGGAAGTGAAAAAAAAGATCTCGACTGGAATTCGAACTCGGCCCTTCGATTTCTCACCCCGACTCGTTATCCATTATACCCGCTAGAAACCAAGAACACATCATAAAGCAAATTATATATATATATATATATATATATATAGGAAAATATACAGACAAACTATAAACTTTCTTTGTCTTTAAAATACAAATAGCTTCTTCTCTTCTATATAAGATATAAATAAGATATATATATATATATATATATATATATATATATATATATATATAATTATTTATTTAAAAT